TTACACTCAACAACATAGCCGCATAGCTTACGAATTTAACTATTTAATTAATTTATCTGTATTAATAACGTAAGCGTCATAAATATTTGTTTTATGAAAACAGATGTTAGTAGGCGCAACATTTAAATGTCAACGACCTAGGCCTTTCATAACGAAAAGTATAAAATATTTAAAAAATCGGAAATTAAACTGTAAATCTATTTTTAAAATGTTTAATAATTTTATTTTACTAAAATGAAAAAATATCTATCCGCTGTATCGACAGTGTTGTAACACCTTACAGCATCTATTTCGGTTCGCTTCCATTGATCCCCGGAATGTATGATATCAGATAAATTATTAGAGGTAGCCGCGTACCACTAACCAGCCTACATCTACCGCGATGCAGTCATGCATTTCAGATTTAAAGGCGCGTAAGCCGTTATACAATCTAATTAAAGCTTTGACCTTTTTTTCTTTTTTTTTAATTGCTTCAATGGTTTGGACGAGCTCACAGCCCACCTGGTGTAAAGTGGTTACTGGAGCCCATAGACATCTACAACGTAGACGCGCCACCCACCTTGAGATACAAGTTCTAAAGTCTCAGTATAGTTACAACGGCTGCCCCACCCTTCAAACCGAAACGCATTACTGCTTCACGGCAGAAATAGGCAGGGCGGTGGTACCTATCCGCGCGGACTCACAAGTGGTCCTACCACCAGTAATAGATAGACCAGTAATTTCTCAAAGTGGAAACGCATTCACGTCCTATAACCACTTTTAGGGAAGGGTAAAGTCGACTAATAAAATACATTCTTCCACCGAACAATAATGTTTTTACACAATCGACCGATGCAAGGCTCCAATGTTTATTCTACGGAATTTGTATTAGCAATTTACTAGCAATATTTTCTTATATTGTTCTTAGGTTAATTCAGATATTCACTGGATGTGTTGTGATACCACTGCGCTATGTATATCCAGTTGCATATAACTCTTCTTTCACTACAATAAAAATGAATTAAGAAGAACAAAGATGCTTGTTGATTATTAAATAAGAAACCAAATCAATTTGGTATGAATACGCACGCTATCTGTAACAATCTTTGGTTTTGGACCTGTATTTTCAAATACAAAAAAAAACTTTAACAGGCAATATCGCGAACGGTCTAACGAGAATTCACAATATGAATTTACAATACACAACTAACTACTTCTGAAAGTTTCAAAGAGTGATTTACACTTAAATAAACATTAAATGTCAACTAGATTTCACTAAAACTATAGTAAACTAGTTTCCATATGGAGTTTAAGAATTATTCCATTTTGTGTTGAATAACAAAATTAAGATCTACAACAAATTTTCAGTTTCAAAAATTCAAACTAGACTGAAACTCAATTCCTAATTAAATATTGAACTGTTTTTTGACCATCGCTTGAAACAGGATGAAACGAGAAAGCGATACTAAAATGAGAAAAATACGCACATTTATAGAGCTTACTGTGAGTGAATGAAATAGGATACATCGTACGGTTGCACAGGATCGCCTGCTTTGAAACATCCGTACAAAGGTATAGTTTCATTGGAACAATACCTATCAAACCTTCCGGACTAGCGTACTCAATTCATGGCAGAATTAGGCAGGTTGAAATTAACCTAAAAGGGCAGTAAAAATTGGGACCAACTACATATTTTGTTCTAAATTATCTTATAATAATGAAGGGTCTACGGTTATATTATCATTTTATGAAACTCATTTACCGGACCTAATATATTTCTAAGTAACACACATAAGAAAGTGGGTAAGTTAAGACAAAGTTTCTGTCAACGATGCTGAACTCATTTGCAACTTCCCTTTACTAAGAGCATCTTTTGTTCTAGCTTCCTTTTATATATTATCCTCGAGAAACTTAATTAACCACTTAAGACGATCTTATCTCTTAAACGAATTATATTATTCATTTTTTGTACCGACTAAATTAGATATTTGACGACTTATGTACTTGGTTTTAAACCATCTCTGAAGCTCAAAGACATCCAAACATGAATGTCGCCGTCCATCTTAATCCAAAACCTCAATGTTATATTGGAATGAAGGTTGTCCCATTTTCCAAAGCAAAAAGAGTGATTACTTTGCGGCCGACAAGCCGTGTTGGTTCAAAACCACTATGACTCAAGGTAGTTTCTACAAATCTTGCCATTCTCTATCTATCTATCAGCCAAATTTTTATAATTCTATTAATCCTTAAATGTAAGTTAGTATAAAGCTACCAGATAGCGTGGGAGGTTTGATTTATCTTATTTTTACCTATTTCATTCTAAATAATAATATTCTAAACATATTTCCGCAAAATATATTTAGCACCTAAATAGTAGTAATGTATACTATTTATATGTATCATAAAATAATACTACTACTAATCAGTTTTTTTATTATTTTTACTTAAATGACTGGACGAGCTAGCTACCGGAGCCCATAGGGATGTCTATACAACCTAAAGCCACCCACTTCGAGACATGATTTCTAAGTCTTAGTTTTACTGTACAACGGCTGCCCCACTTTTCACATTTCACGGCAGAAATAAGCGGGGCGGTAATACCTATCTGTGCGTACTATTAACATGAGCTATCACCAGTAATACCTTAATAATAGTTGTAGTTAATCTTTGTCATATCGGTAAATCTTTATCAATAGCAGATGGCGTTAATATTATTTTTTGTTAATTATAAATTCAGTTCAAATTTTTAGTGTACCACTCATGCACTTTTTCAGTAAATTTTACATGTGCAATTAGTGAGGCAAATAAGGAAAGCACGTAAGACTTATATGGATATATCGTGACGATATAGTAGTTGACGAGGCTGGGTATGGTGTCAATAAACTCTCCGGTGGCCACACTCTACGCACTAAGACAATAAACGATAATGGTTTCACTGAATGAAACGCTTCCGTCCGACTTCTTAAATTAAACTTCCACCCCATTTCTTAGGAACATCAACACATTTATCTGAAAACGTTTAACGGAAAAAAGTACGCGTTTATTTGACGAAGGACTCCACAATGCCCCGGTGTGTTTGGACACAGAACTCGTCACGGGCGTGGCTCCGGGCCGGCTTTGCAGTGACAGGCCCCTATTTCACGCGTGCCATATGAAACTGTCAGCCTCCCGAGCGAAGTGCAGCTTTTATTCAGCCGACCGACTTCGCATGGCCGTATTTTTTCCCACTGGCAAACACAAATGCCTACAACGCTTACGACAGTTGCTTTGTTTAAAAACATTTCGTTTATATATATTTTTTCAAACTATTCAATTACAATCAAATATTTTGTTGATAACCTCATTTTCTTGTCAATATGTTTTGCATTAAAACAAGCATGTTTGAATAAAAAATTTGCATTTGCATTTACCGTCAACCTTTAACCGCAGATGTTTGCTCTTAAACTACAATTGCCGAATTCGAAGTTGTTGGTACATTAACCTCGTAAAAACGTAAACATCGCACCCAACTCAGTAATATTTAATCGGAAGGAAAGCTTGAATAAATCAAAAACTTGTTTTGCGGCCAAGGGAAATAACAAAGAGAAATTAAGGAGCCTAAACGTTAAAGATGTAGTAAAAACTGGGCTCTAATTCGTTCGAAAAATACCCAGAAGAAAAGGAAAAAGAATTTTAAATTAAACTGAGGAGAATTTGGCCTTGTCTCATTAAGTTTGATTTTAAATATTTAGCCTATTCATACTGTAATAGCGATTAGCCTATTGAACTTTCTATTACAAAACCTATACAATAATTTTACTGCCTCAGAAGGCAAACGAACAGACGACTTTTACATTATTACTCTATAGTGCTTACATCTTTTGCTTGTCACTTATAGCATACAGAAAAGCTATTTTAAAATATTTATAAGGTGATTTAGTCCGATGAGTATTATAGTTTTATAGCGTAAGTTGATGTATAAAATAATAAGTTCGTATTGTGTTGCTTTTGTTTTTTTGTAATTTAAATTTCTAAATTTCTCTTCACTTTCTACTTATATGTGATTTTGATTGTGGAAACATATTCGGTTATTATTTTAGCTATATTTTCTAAAATATTATATGTTTGTATTGTACTGTTTGTTTTCCAAATAAATAAATAAATAAATTACATAATTCTTAACATAAAAGGAAAAAAATTCTAGAAGACTGTGGAAACCATTTTAAATTTACGATACGATTTAGATAAAATGGTCTCTATAACTTCTATAGCTCTGACCGACCTGGCTGTGTGATCGTAAATGATATACATATAAATTGAGCAGGCATACGGGTACATAAAGCATAATCGTGAACTGCCCCTGTGACATAATACCGTCCTAGTACTTCAGGGCCGTGTAAAATTACCGTCGGCGATCCCAACTTCAAAGGTAAATTAAGAAACCCGCATGTGGAGGCCGCATCGCATCGCAACGAACACAAGCCGAGCGCCCCTCGCGGGTTTAATTTTAAATGAGCCGCGTAGGTAATAAGGTCAGCGTAGACAAAAATGATTTATCAAGTAGTTGTTATTAGAAAATTTATATCTCCTTATTTCTTACTAGCTGATCCAAATCGCGACATCATATCAAAATTTTATTCTACTCATTTTTTTTATGTTTTTTTTTTAGATTACATGAGCGGACGAGCTCACGGCCCACCTGGTGTTAAACGGTTACCGGAGCCCATAGATATCTACAACGTAAATACCGTCACCCACCTTGAGATATAAGTTCTAAGGTCTTAGTATAGTTACAACGGCTACCCCACCCTTCAAAACGAAACGCATTACTGCTTCACGGCAAAAATAGGCAGGGTTGGTAACTACTCGTGCGAACTGACAAGATGTTCTACCACTAATAAACACCAGTGTATAGTACAAACACCTAATATATAATATATTATACGCTACGTTCTTTTGAATGACTATTTTTCTCCGGCTTAACATATGCATTTTTTGTTGCTTAAGCAAGATTAAATTAAAAAATATTAAAAATAACTTACCGATTGTCGTGAGCGCCAATGTGCACCAATAATAACTTTGAAGATACTGTTTCACTACATCGGCCGTTTCCGTATCGTGATACACCCAGTTTTTACTACCGAAACCATTGTTTTTATATATTATATGGTACAAGCACCCGTTCCAATGGAATATCACTAACAAATAATGAATTAAACTTGTTGACCTAAACAAGTTAGGGTAGTTCGTGTGTCGCTCAGTTCGGTCCATAAACGCCCAAAAACGATATATTTTCACTAATCGGAACGAACGTAATATTGAATTAAAGCCGATGGATAGATAAAGAAAGTCCAACGGCAACAAACACAGACAGTCTATATAGAACGTGGTAGAGTTCATGTAATGCGCTCTCAGCTTCGCCGCATCCGTTTGTAGCACGCCATCTTCTAGATATCCCGTCCGAAAATGAAACAAAATGTCCGCCAAATATAGGAAGTCCGAAAAATAGTCGAGGCAAAACCACACTATTAATGTTTCACCTGAAACAAAACATAATTCTAATGGATAGGACTTCACATGTTCGTAATCAATTATCTTATATCTTTAAACGAGCAATTCTTGTATATATAAATATAATAATATATATAATCTGAATCTCGGAAATGGCTCCAACGATTTTCATAAAATTTAGTATATAGGGGGTTTGGGGGGCGATAAATCGATCTAGCTACGATTTATTTTCAGAAAATGTTGTTTTATTCGTGTTTTCAATAATCAACTTTATCGATAACTTTGATATTTTATTATTATTCTGTCGGTGAGATCGAAAAATATTATTCATATTTCATCATTTTATCAATATGTAATTCGTATTTAAATATAATTTCTAAGAAATCAATTTATCAACCCAAAAAATGACTGAGCTAAGTTCGGTCATTATCTAGTAATATAATATAATATAATCAAAAATAATAAAAAGGAAATATGAATGAATGAACGAATGAGAGTTAAAAACGAACGTAACAAAGGCCCTGAAGATTCAATTACAAACTACGCATCGTTGGCAACAGAACGTGGCAAATGCAATCGTGTGGCAGTGAAACTTTACAACAAAACAAGAGACTCCACCGTGAAACATCGAAACATTTCCTTTCGCGGTAGATATTTATTACATTGTTCACGCGACGTGACATTTAACTAAGAAAAGCTGTTCCGGTGAGTAATTTAATTCTCAACGGCGCAAGTTAGCGGAAACTATGCGGGGACCGCGCTAAGACGTTGCAGCTTGGAGCACGACATTTATTCTCACGTCCTATCTAAATAGCGGTCATATCGTTATATACATATCTTATTATTATTAGTTTGCTCAAACATTTTTAATGTTTAGTGGCCAAGGAACGAAAATTGTGTGATATCTCAATGACATTCATGAAAAAATATGATATTTCAATGGAATCCAGAGGACCAAGTCTGCTATTAATTTCTTTTTTAAATGTAGCTAATCATTATCTATTATGGTAAACTCATCGTTTATTTTCAGCTCAAATAACATCGTATATAACGAAGTATTTTTTTTTTCAGAATTATTCAGATCCTTTATTTTTTTATTTACTTACCATTTATTTCTTGAAAAGCGAACCTGTAGACTATAACCCATAGGTTATAAAGGAAGGCTAGCGAGACGACCATGGACCAATAATAGCACAATCGGCCGGCGGGGTCAAAAACAAACGACCAGTGCGGCCCAGAGCGCAGTCGGCCGCTTGCGTACGTGGAGCGACGACGGAGACCTCCTCTGCTGCCACTGGGTAACAAACAAAATAACCTTCAATTACATATTAAAATACATAATCATATATAATAAGGCCTAGCCCACAATTTTTATATTCAAGCTTATATGTATATTGGCATTTATTTAAAATATAAAAAAAATGATGCAAAACCCGCCTATCCATAGTTTCATCCATAGAGAACAGATGGCTTTGTAAACATTATTTTTGGCCTACTCAAATTAAAATTCATGAAAACTTAAACCTCATTTTTGCATACTATGGTAAGCTTAGGGCACTTTTGCGCTGACGGCCTCTTAAGTACATACAGCAAGTTTGTTAAGATTAACTTTCCACAAAAGGAGTTTCTCGAAGGATGCGGGCGAGATTGTCGTGTGTGATTAGATCATGCGAGAGCATTTTGTACGATTATCGACTTTAACTATTCACGTAATGGATGATAATTAACATTCATCAATCGTGTAATAATCATACAAGCGCTTTCGCTGTTTTCATTAAAATAATTGTGCTTTATTATTTGTCGAGCAGATAATCCAAAAATGTTTAGAAGACATTTTGAACCATTAAAAAATGGGAAATTGCAATAAAATTACGAATTCAAATTCAGAAGTTTATCAATCTAATTAACTGTCTCAGCTGTCTTAAGGTTTAACGGTATCCATAAAATGCTGTGATACCCAGCAATTAACTGCACAGCCTGAATGCCGCATCTTGTGACGTAAAGTTGAAGTCAATCAATTCTAACAGTATAAGGGGGGCTTCAAAGCGAAACGAACTTTACTAACAGACACCGATAATTTGGCGATACTCATCCCGGCCTTACAATGCGCACTACTGTGACTAACTCTTTTTTTATTGGGTTCTATAGGCAAACTAGCATACAACCCATCAGAAGCACAGGGGCACAGCCAAGGTGGGTGGCGCATTTACGTTGTAGATGTCTATGGGCTCCAGTAACCACTTAACACCAGGTGGGCTGTGAGCTCGTTTATCCATCAAAGCAATAAAAAAAAAGCCAAGCCGCTGCCTGTTGATAAGAACCCTTCGCAAACCTCGTTTGAAGAAAGATATATTATGGCGCTCAGAATATAGGTAATAATATTGTGTAGCGAAGACCATTTCACCAGGAAATATGTGTTAAAAAAGAATTACGGAAACGCACTTTGGATTAACGCAGTGATTCTAGATAGTACGGATGAACTCTGCTCTAAAAACGGAATAACGGAATCCGAAAAACAAAAGTCTCTCTGTCGATCCAGAAGTTCCAAAAGATCCGTGAGAACAAAACTGTCGATCATCCGAACGGCTGTCTTCTGTTTGGAGTCAAATGCAATGGAGCTGGTATTTGTGTCTAATAATATAAGTCTGTGTTTAAGCGTGTAATACCAAATTTATCATTCACAAATATATTTGCTGGAACTCAATACTAATACCTAACAAGCTAGCATGTAACCTATTAATAGGGTATTGATCGGTAAATATAATTAGACACGACTCGCTTGGCCATCGTCCTCTCTATCAAGAACTAAGTGCTAAATGTTGTGTGCAAATCCAATAAGGAATGCACTCAGCGTTAATCCTACAGTATCCTATATCTGTAGAAAGGTGCGGACGACAAAATCCAATGAAATTATGAAATATCTCCGAATATTAAAGTTCACTTAACATTACAATAATTAAACATAAACTGACTTCTATTATTAAGATATTGAATAATTGATGAAGGGTATTAAAGTTTTTTTTATTGCCCTTATAGGCAAACGAGCATACGGCCCACCTGATGGTGAGTGGTTACCGTTGCCCATGGACTTCAGCAATGCCAGTCCGCTGCCTACCGTTAAGTATACTCCACAAGCCTCGTTTGAAGAAGGATATGTCGGTGGCGGGCGGTGCGATGGTAAAAACGAATTGAAGATATCATCTTAAGCAATTCCTTACAGCACTCCCCATGAAACATACTGTACAAAATACAGAGGGAACCGAAGTCCCTCCGCAGACCCAGAGGTCCCAAACGATCCGTGAGAAAGGAATTATCGACAATCCGAACGGCCCTCTTCTGTATGGAGCCAAGTGGAAGAAGCTGGTATTTGGGAGCCCCGGCCCAGAGATGGGAGCAGTACTCCACGCGAGGCTGGACTTGTGCTTTAGAAAGCAAAAATCTTTGTCCAGGCGTGAAGTACCGCTTCGCTCTGTTCAGGACTCCCAACATATTGGACGCCAACTTGGCTTTGCCTTCCAAATGACTCCGAAATTGGACATCGCTCGAAACGTCGACCCTAAGTATCCTGATACTCTCGGAATGTTGCAGGGATACTCCTTGGAATTGCGGCACCATGACAAAGGGGTCCTTCTTCGCAGTAAACGCGCGAGCTTGTGTCTGCAACGGGTTGAATTGAACCAAGTTCAATTCGCCCCATCCGGAGACTCGCCCCAGAGAGTTATCCAGTTCAGACACAAGGTTTGATCGTCTCTCTTGCACTACGCTCTGAGAGAGACTCTGATAGCCGATATATCGCGCATCCCCCGTACTGTCATCCGCATAGCAATGCATTTCATTGATATACAGGATGAAAAGTGTGGGGGAGAGCACCGAACATTGTGGAACGCCAGCGTTATTGGTCATGGTATCAGAGCAGTCACCGTCTAGAACGTCTGTAATGCTCCGCCGTCTAAAAAGCTTGCGATCCACTAGCGGAGTCCCTCGTGGATTCCATAAGCTTCGACCGAAGTGCCCTATGCCAGACCCTGTCGAAGGCCTTCGCGATATCAAGGCTCACAGTAAGAGCCTTGCTCTTGCTCTCCAAGGCTTCAGCCACCTGTGAGTAAGGTATACAAGAAGATCGCCAGCTGAGCGACCGTGACGAAAGCCGTACTGTCGGTCACTGATCAGCTGGCGATCCTCGAGATACTTCAGGAGTTGTTTATTTATTATTCGCTCCATCACCTTAGAAAGCAAGGAAGTTATCGCGATAGGCCTATAACTCGATGGGTCCGACCGGTCACCCTTCTTGGGGATAGGGTGGACGTAGGCGGTCTTCCATGAAGACTGAACCTTGTTAATGAGAGGTGATACAAATGCGTTAGCGCAGATGTAAGGTCAGAGGCGCACGTTTTCAGATGCAGTCTGACCAACTCGACGTATGGACGTCCAGAAGTATATAGGTATATTAAGGTAATTCAAAAAGAATGATACACGTCGGATTTTCCCGGGATAGCGTTGCATGTGCAAGCTATGACAACCGTCACTATGCTAATCGTGTTAATAAGTGCTTTTTTTGTTTCCTAAAATGCTGGGTTTTGGTTAGGAATTGCGTAAAATGCGATCTTAGTGAGCGCAATAGGATTACATATGACAATTTTAAAAACTGTCAGACGGATAGCTTCGGGAATCTCGTAATGAACAAGTGACATGGGGATTACTGGTGGTAGGACCTCTTGTGAGTCCGCACGGGTATGTACCACCACCCTGCCTATTTCTGCCGTGAAGCAGTAACGCGTTTCGGTTTGAAGGGTGGGGCAGCCGTTGTAGCTATACTGAGCCCTTAGAACTCATATCTCAAGGTGGGTGGCGACATTTACGTTGTAGATGTCTATGGGCTCCGGTAACCACTCAACATCAGGTCCACCCACCTAAGCAATAAAATAAAGAAATAAAAAGATCACGGTATGTACGGTCCATAGACCGAAAAAATTCTATGATACGGTCCCTTTGAACTACTACTTACGTTCCATTGTACCATTGATCCGTGCTAGTACGTACTAACGGCGTACTAATGCGATTACTGGTAACAATACTAGAAGTATAATATTTTTCTAGTATAGAATGGTCATTTTTCAGGACACAGCCTATTATTCAAAATAAATTAAACTAACCAACTGTATGTCTTTATAATCGGACTCCTACAGAACCTGATTATGACACAACACATCGCGTCAAGTCTAACCCAGTTAATATAACATAGCATTGTTTTGTTTGAGCACAATAGCCTTTGTTGAAATTGTTCGCTGTTACACAATGCATTACTGAAACCGTGAAACCTATTTAGTTAGGGTGTATCTGATAGCTATTATCAATTCAACATCTAACTCGATCACATAGCACATGTTTGAAACATACTCGTGTACAAAGCGGTACGATTACACGTGATTGTAGCGCACGTGAAGTGTTTAACAATCTGAAAAACTTGATGATTATTTTCAAACTGAAGAATAGAAGATAAGAATATATGTAGGTACATATTGACGTAACTAGGGATACTAACAAAGAAGAAAGGCAGCTACGCGGCTTCTTATATATACTTCTTCTTCTTATAATTCCTTGCTAGCTCAGTATATTTACATTCAGCCACCTCGCAATAAACAGCTACAAGATTGAAAAATAGGGTATGACTATAATATTGAAGTTACACTGAATTGATTTCCATGATTCGTGTTATTAGTTCTTACCTTAACGACAGCCAAATGAACAGTCCACCTGATATTAAGTAGTTATCATTGAAACCGGCAGTATCAAAGATATAGCCCGCTGCCGTAACGAAAATTACTTTCCTTATTCGTTTTAAGAGGGACATGTTATAGAGAAGATGACTCGCCCTGGGATAAATTAATTCCACAGTTAAATGGTATAGGAAAAATGACTTCTGGAAGTGCACTTTACACCTTGTCAGCGAATCAGGGTAGTACGGATGAACGACACAATGGGGTGTGGTGCGACGGTAAAAAGGCGACCATTAAGTGGTTGTTAATAAGAGACTATGTAATATCGGCCCAGCATAACACCACCTCATCTCACTTCATGCCGTGAGTGTCGTAAAATAACGCTAAGGGATTTGTGCCGGTGCATGTGGCCAAAAAGACCCTAGACATTAAAATAAGCTGTAATGTAAGTCCTCCTACAAGACTTGGACGGGCTGTGTGGAAAAGGATATGCGAGAGAAGGGTGTGAGATTATGTATGATAGGCTTGATTAGGGTTGATTAAAAAGAGGCTAAGAAGAAGTACAGCAGTTCTCCCTGAGTATTATACAAGCGTACTGCGATAGCTTATCATCAACCCGTGGCGGACCGTATTATCTTCCGGTAATCACATAAAACCAGGTGAGCTCGTTCACTCATCAATTCCAAACTGCTGCTGTTTGTTTTTTAGCAATAATCACTACGTAGCACGCGTGAACCAACACACGGATCAATGGTATTAATTATGTTTAGGGGAGCTTATAGATATCAAAATGTGAATATTGCCACCTAAAAGGAGACTTAGGGCCAAAGTTGGAATAAAAATATAGGTATTCTTGAAGTTTCGCATAATGCTCCTATGATAAACAAACAATTTTCGATCACGTCTGCTTCATGTATAATACGAAGGTAAGATCAGATGCACCACACATAAGACGTAAACCCCGATGTTTGCAATTCTTGATTGTTTGAGCTCCGATTGACTGGATCTGCTCAGAATCCGTGTACAAGTAATACCTCCTCGGGAGTAATTGAATATCGCGTTTACCACCTGAGGGCAGCAGTGTATTAAGGGGATGTGTATCCAATTAATCCCTACGTTCGTATATTCGAGGCGTATTTCGAAGGAGGAACTTCGGGTTTGCGGCTCGAGATTCAAGTCCCATTATCGGGGATAACACAACCATTATCGAATATAGGGCCAACTTAATAAATCTTGTATTGTAGCACAGGTATTCTGGACTTTAATGTAAAAAAATTAGGTATTTTAATTTATTTGATTTGTTCATATTCGTCTCAAAAACATTTGTAACATATTTTAGTACACGAAGTATTTGCTAATAATACTATAATAACCCAATAGCTTTATAATTCTACCTTCAAGCAATCATAATCAGTAGCGACGAAAGTCATTATTACAATGCAAATCGAAGCTGAGACATTTGAAATTACCGTGGTACGTTCCTTCAGCGAAGCAGTCAAGCGTTCTAGTTGAAAGACGCGAAACTTTGATCTAATATCTTAAGTGAGCGATGTCTTTTACATCACGATGTCTATGGATGCCGACAATGAAACAACCAGCGACCTATGAGATCGTCCATCCATTTACACTAGTAAACTTTTTGAGACTTCCACCACTAATCTTACTAATGGTGCTCAAGGATACTCTTCTGACTCTAATTACTGGAGGTAGGACGTCTTGTGAGTCCGCACGGGTAGGTACCAATCGCCCTGCCTATTTCTGCCGTGAAGCAGTAATGCGTTTCGGTTTGAAGGGTGGGGCAGCCGTTGTAACTATACTGAAACCTTAAAACTTATATCTCAAGGTTGCAGCATTTACGGTGGCAGCATTTACGTTGTAGATGTCCATGGGCTCCGGTAACCACTTAACATCATGTGTGCCGTGAGCTCTTCCACCCAGCTAGGCAATAAAAATAAAAAGTTACTACTAAATACCAAGAGCGCTTGTGTTCGCTGATAATTAAATTACCTAGTAACCTTTGTTGCGAATATTAATTAAATAATGCAGGTAACGATGAAGCGATAATTTGAGCCTACCCCTTTTCGTAAACCATGTAGCTATAATTGGATATCTCCGTCTGAGAGCCTGGGCACGAGCATTTATTTAATTATTTACACAATGAGCTTGTTAGCGATCTCTCATCCAAAGCGTTCGAGTTTAACTGCTGATGTTTGTTGTAATATCTGTTACAATAAAAAAACCACATTGCTTTTCTTTATTGCTTAGGTGCACTACTTTAAGGTTTAAATGTATTCAATAAGAATGTATAGGTATGTATAAAACTTGTATAGTGTTCGTTATCGTAATTCTATACGTATTTTTTTAACATAATATTGTTTCTTAAACAAGTAATCACCCGAAAGGTGATATTTGCCTTTATTATTAGGATTATGAAGGACTTATGTGGATTGAAGTGCCCCAGCACGAGAAGCTGAGCATGTGAAACAGATACGATAACAAACTGAAGCCTTCACCTCAAAATGAAGCCAGAACAGGATTTTCTAATATGGTATGGGCATTGAAAACGTACAAATAGATAGATGTGTTTAATACTAATATCGAGCATATGGGCCACCGGACCAATTTATGTGGATGTTAGCTAGGTAAGCGGAAAATAGCTTAATCTTCTGGGAACTTTCGGTTTTGTTACATTAACAAAAGCCGAAATACTATATATATTTACCAAAATGTTGATACCTACAAGGAACCTGGACCACGTGTTATATTAGGCCAATAATAATCGTAACGATCTCAAAACATCTTTCACCTTGAGAAATATCTTCTGACGAGCGAGCTATCTTAATTTTTCTACTCGAGTTACGAGCAACGAGATTTTCTCACAATTCGACAATTAAAATTTGAGGCTCTCGAGAAAACGAAGCGGAAGCGGAAACACGTTTTGTTTTTCAAACAACAGTAACATGACAGGAATTATCGACCGATGTCAGAAAGCGCCCAATGAAGCTTTCCATTCATTCGAATTGCTTTGTTTAGAAGAATAATTAATTAATTATAAATGATGGTAAAACACAAAAAGAACGTTTTATGGAATGCGCAATTTTATTTAAAAAAAATCCTACCTACCTAACCAGATAGCCTTGAGAGGCTATTTCAGCGTAGCCTTAACTAGTAGGTGAGCACACGTGGCTTACACCGGAGTGATGGTAACACTGACCCTAGCAAGAGCAGTGCTTCGCAGAATCTACCACCGGATCGGAAACGCGACCCACTGAGAAGATCCGGCGAGAAACTCAGTGGGCTGTGTCTATGGGTTAATTAGCTCGTCGAGCCCTTCGTCCCAAGCGACGGGTTGGACGAGGACGGTGACCGGTGCTTGTGGTGTTATTAATGTGAATATTAACAAGATAAATAAACCGCTGGTTAGATGGTGCGATGACCTTCGAACATTGACCGGCAAGAGGTGGATGAGGAGAGCAGAAAACCGAGCTCAGTGGTGTGGATTGGGAGAGGCCTATGTCCAGTAGTGGACGACTGTGGACTGATGATATGATGAAACAAATAGCGGCACACCATTTATACGAAGAATACATCGTCTTTCGATCGAAGGGGAAGATCTTTCATCGAGCGCTTGTCAATGCTAGGTGACTGATGACCGCAGTGTTGTTGCTACTGAATATCGATAGTTCGATAGTGATCATGAATATCGATATCGTCGATGTGCGATTCTGGTTTTTACAGATTTCTTCTATTCTAACTATAATAAAGTAACAACATAGACGTACTTACAGTATGTGAAATGTGAAAAGAATGCTGTGTGGAATTCATTCACAAAATTTCGTCATATGGTTACTATCGGACCACTTAGTACCCTCTTGTGGTTTTTTTGTCTGCCTTTGATTAAATGCGTGAAAGCATATTTTGTGTAATATCTATTATCTAGCCAAGGTGGGCAAGTAAATCCACTGAATCGTGATATTACGCATTCATTTAGCAAAAAAATCTTTGTAATAATGGACTAACGACTAAGAAAAGTAATATACAATGGTATTATTGTATTGAGGAAAATAAGTTTATATTGCCGTTGTAAGAAAGCAATAAAATGGTGGGCAGCGCTAGTCACGTTGTGATGTTTTGTTTGTTACGATAAAGAGGACGGTTGGACTCTGAGCTTGTCTGTCCGTATTAACAAAAATAAATAATAGATTTAAAAAACTAACAAAATACGCTTTTATAGAAAATCCAACTAAAAAATAGAAAATAAATTTTAATAAATTTGAATTAAAAATAGTGTAAGAAAAAAATATTTTATTGTAAAAAAGCGTGGGGTGTTTTTCAGTATATTATCAAAATAACCCTTCTACTCATATCTCTTCATAAAATATTTATAACTTCTTATACCATCCACCCCGCGCTTTTTTTACAATAAAATATTTTTTTCTTACACTATTTTTAATTCAAATTTATTAAAATTTATTTTCTATTTTTTAGTTGGATTTTCTATAAAAGCGTATTTTGATAGTTTTTTTTAAACAATTATTGGAACGAAGTTCCTTACGGCAGGCTTAGAGGGGATAGGGATTTTGCTGCGCGACCGAACTGAAAAAAATGTGATAGTAAAACCGTAAGAAAAAATCCGTGGAAAAAAGTGCGTGGAATAAAACCGTTAAATGAGACGTGCGCAGGCGCGACAGTCGCATACACAAGCGAGTAGTGTATAATACCTTTCTCTTTCTCCTTCTTTCTTTTCGTTCTCTAATCTCTTTTCTCTCTATTTAGTAATTGTATTTCTATTTCTATGTAATTTTATGTTGTCAACCAAAAATAAAGAGATATATTTTGTTATTTTAATTGATAATTTGAATTACTATTTTTTTTATTTGACGTTATTTATTATTTCCTAAAATACTGAATTTCTTAAATACTTTCCCGTACTGAAATAAAAACTAATCAGCAAAGTTTAAGAGAAAAACCAAGAAAACCTACATAAAATTGAGCACCATTTATTTTTTTGCAAATTGTGTCGATTCTACATTAGCCGAAGGAACTTCGTTCCCACCTGGTATCCCACGACACCACATTCTTTTTTTATTTTTTTATTTTTCGGTTGAATTTCATATTTTTTTCATTTTTTTTTTGTAATCTTATATTGTCATCGGTCCTTAATAAGTATACCAAATTTCGAGTTAATCCGACGTTTTGAAGGGGATTAAAATCAGGTTCAAAAATTCCGTTACAAACATACATACCTACATCTGAAGCTAATAAAAGAGTATTAATAAAAATATTTTTTGAAGCAAGCCTTCTGTTCACTATCTGCATAGATATTAATGTGTGTACTATGTGTGTGTGTGTCTGTGTGTGTGTGTGTACGTGTGTGTGTTAATCAATGCAATTTCCTTGCTTAAAGTGTACACGTGTGAAAATATGTTACAGACCTATCAGTGCCGTTGCAGTGCTGCGGTGCGAGGTGATTGTGTGAGTGGTGCGGCGCCGGTGTCGCTGACGCGTGCGGCGTGTGCGGCGTGCTCCGCCAGCCCCCCAACAACGGAGCCTCACCGCTTGCGCTCAGTAGTTTTAACCTGATGTAATTTATTCGATTATTTAAAAAACGAACAGACCCTTAACCGTAAACTATTCAACTGAAAAGTTTTTTATTTTATTGCTTAGATGGGTCGACGAGCTCACCTGGTGTTAAGTGTTTATTGGAGCCCATACATCATCTACTACGTACATGCGCTACCCACCTCAAGATATAAGTTCTAAGGTCTCAGTATAGTTACAACGGCTGCCCCACCCTTCAAACCGAAACGCATTACTGCTTCACGACAGAAATAGCCAGGGCGGTGTACCTACCCGTGCGGACTTACAAGAGGTCCTACCACCAGTAAATTTTAGTAGAATTTTCTGTAGTTTTCGCGGGGCGTAAGCGTAAAAATCTCGACCACGAAAACTGTAAATTATTTTGAAACGTCAAAAATTATTTAATGACAGTAAAATGACAGATTAAACCATTAAAATAGATTTAACTGAGTACCAAATACCAAGTATCTAACTACGTTGAGGACGTTTCTCTGTTACCGTCTTCCGCATTCATGATCCTTATTTTTTTTCGTTTATGATCAAACATACTGATGGACTTCTTCTATACGAGGTTCATAGTTGAGTCGCCAACTGTAGTTTAGTAACTGTAGTAGTACTTATGGTTTAAAAAATCGCACATTCTGCCAGTCCAATGGTAGCGCATTGTTATTGCTTTTTGTTTCCTGCCTAAGCTGATAGCCTTGAGAGGCTACTTCAGCGTAACTGTCAAACTAGTAGGTGAGCTCACGAGGCTCAAACCGGAGTGTTGGTAACACTAGCCCTAGCAAGAGCAGTGCTTCGCAGAATCTACCACCGGATCGGAAACGCGACCCACTGAGAAGATCCGGCGAGATTGGCGAGAAACTCAGTGGGCTGTGTCTGAGAGTTCATTTACTCGTCGAGCTCTTCGTCGCAAGCGACGAGTTCGACGAGGACGGTGACCGGTGCTTGTGGTACCTAATAGCACCGTTAATGGATCGGGAGCTATTGCATTATCTCAGAAGCTGTATAGGCAAATATTTTTCTCAATCGGATACTTAGAACAAGCCTGAAATGTACGTATAAGAATAATAGTAAAATTTTTTTTGTAAAAACTAGTCTAAATCTGAATCACTATAAAATTGAGACTTACGCTTTAAAATTGAGATTACGGATAATATCACAGAATTGAAGTCCGCTAGTTAAAAATCATCTTCGTATGCTAATTTAACCATTTGTATGCTCTACAAAAAGTTTTCAACCGTATAACCTATTGAAATAATGTTTATGTTCTATTACATAAAATAAAATCCCTTAATAATAAAACCATTTCGTGTGAATATCGCAAATAACAGTAACAGTTTGAAACCGTTTAAGTGAAGTATTCGAATCAAGTTTCAATAGAGCGTTGAATTTTCCCCGCGTTAATCTCCAGCGATGCAGATTTAAGATTTTTCCCAGAAGAGGGCAAAATCGTTTGAAGCCCAATCGACTTAGTAGCAACCGAGCGGCTACCGGTAGAAATTGGTTTTTCCAATGCGACGTGACGGCTGGAAAGCCGCTTCGGAGCTGTCGTACCGTAAAATGAGATATATACCGTTCAAAAATGCGATCGGTTTCATAGCTCAGTCTGACGATGGCTGCTTCAGGTAAGGGTTGTCAAAGAACGCTCTTGTACTGCCCATATTAATAAATATATTTAAAAATCGAACAGTATTCAGTAAAATAAAAAATATTTCATTACTGTAAGAAACTTAACTCTCAATTATCGATACACACACACAGTACATACACATCATAACTCAACATCGGGTAAAATAACACCTCATATGTACCAATAATAGTTAACTAGATGATGACCAAGCTTTGCTCGGTTTTTTTTTGATAACGCCATCTTGTTGTGTCTTTAAAGCGGTTAGTTGCCCTCAATTAAGAAAAATAGTATTATTATTCGCCAATAGATGTTGAGAAGAGTTGATTATTGAAAACATGAATAAAACAACATTTTCTGAAAATAAATCGTAGCTAGATCGATTTATCGCACCCGAAATCCCCTGTATACTAAATTTTATGAAAATCGTTGGAGCCGTTTCCGAGATTCAGATTATATATATATACAAGAATTGCTCGTTTAAAGGTATAAGATAAGATAAGATAAGATACGACAATCTATTTGAGTTCGTATTTTAAGAACAAAAACATCTCTCCGTTAATGGATTTGTAACAATACAGATTATTTTTAAATTCGTCTTTGGCCTTTTTGCTGCTTTTCACATGGGCAGGGCGGGCTCATCGAGTCAACACTTGTGATTAAAGCGACACTCAAGAAAAGGGCCCTCGCGTTCCTCAGCAAACAAGAGACAGACCCTCGAACCTCTCCAGCGGCGCCTTAATGGAGGCGCGCCCGCACCGTTAACCAAGTAATGTAAAGAAATATTTTGCTAAAATAAATATTACGCTTACAGCCGCGTCCCTGCGCAATGCACCAACGGTCGCCGAATCGAGTCAATTTACACAACACGTTCTGGTTGTTCTAGATACTTTACGACTGATTGAACTGTTTTTAGATTGAATCGATATTTCGATATTGAAAGTATTTTGTGTCTGTCTGTGTTTTTATATACAAAAGTATAATTAAAGCTAGTTTTACGATTTAATCTCGCGATTTTTATTGTTCTTTATATGTATTATTTCTGACTTTTCGAATAGGTACTTGACAGTTTTCGTGGTCATTGACGATTTTTTTTTATTGCTTAGATGGGCGGACGAGCTCACAGCCCACCTGGTGTTAAGTGGTTACTGGACCCCATAGACATCTACAACGTAAATGCGCCACCCACCTTGAGATATAAGTTCTAAGGTCTCAAGTATAGTTACAATTAGATTAGTGTTATTCCTCAACATCTGAATATTGTAGTAACTATAGTCTATTTTTTAATATTAAATATATATTTTTTACATTTGTAGTTTTAATAATGTCTACAATTGGCAAAAAACTGAGAAGAGCTGTGATAATTTTGAGCTGTCTCTTTGTATGTTTTGGTTACAATTATGCGGCATAAATAATTGCTGCTTCAAAAATGAAAACAAAATCTCAGACACCGTATGGCTGCGGTGAGTCGCTTTCGCCACATAAGTACGAGACAAGCGAATAATACTATTTAAAAACTTTTTTAAAGACCAAGGCGAAAGACCGCATGATTGATCCCGAACGGAAATGAATTAGGCTTGAATTGGGAATAACTTAAAACAACCTTTTTTATCTATACAAACAAAAGAGCATGCAAATATCACGAAAGACTTCACCTCCGCCGATGGAAACCCTGTAGACGTCATTCGAAGAAAACAAAACCAATATTGAGAAATTGCGAAAACATAGAACCATTTATACAAGTTCATTAACATCTGAACATTCGCTTGGAAGAAAATGGCGTGCTGTATTTTGCGAACGTACAAATTCAATTTAGCACGATTCCAATGCTAATAAAGTAGAAACTATTTTAACGACTAAACTAAAGTATTTTGGGCATAATGGAAAATAGACCGAGAGTAATCAGATCCCTGGGTATCACGCGACTTTGAACGGAGGGCTAGTGAAACCCTAAAGTTAACGACTTTAGTTAGCCCTTACATATCCACAGATATTATAAGGGATCATTGACGTAATCTCTTAAGTGCGCCTTTCCGATGTAATAAGCAAGTTGGATGCTGAGTTGTTACAATGCGGTCTATAGTAGAATAATATAAAAAGGAAACACTAGGTGTGAGCGGCTGCGTTCAGTTTTCGTTAGCCGTAAGTGTACTGTTGAGTAGACGCGTCGACAAAATCATAGTCCACGATCTGACTTGCGAATTTTAAGCGTCAAAAGGATTCCGTTTCTATTTACATAATTATAATTTGTTTGAAAAACAAATAACATTCATTTGAATTTAAAGTAATCGTAAAGCATTTTTGTGGCAGGAAGAAATCGCCCGTACTTCCGTCCTCCACTGGGGATGGAAGGCGGGGCATGTCAGAGTCGAACCGACTAAAACCTATTGTCGCGCAACAACCAGCATCCAAACCTCGCATGATGGAACTCATGAAAAGGCAAAGGGGGGAAGTGAAGCGTTTAGTTCGGAGCATATCTCTTCCACCACTCTCCCCCTCGGGACCTTCGGCGCCACGACCACCAGCCCTCTCTGTCGGCAGGCTATCCGAAGCCCGCCTAGATAGTGCCCGTTAGAATGGTCAATCGTAAAGCATAAAAGAAAAACAGTTAATAATTTATCAAAAAGTATTATATTAAGCAAGTTATTAAACCAATTTACGTAACCAGTTATAGAGAGCAAGCCCACATGCGTAAATTACACCATTGTCCCTATTTCTGTTACGAAGAAGTCATGTATTCCGGTTTCGAGGATAGCTGATGCCTTATATTCTTTATACACTACAATTGAGATTTTGACTTAATGTCTCAAGATGGGTGGGCATTCACGTTATTATACATATCGGCTGCGATAACTACTTAACACAAGGTAGAGCCGCGATCAGTGTGCTTAGTGCGAGTTTTTTAAAGTTCTCGATAGCGTAAAAGTTAACCCAATTTTGTATACAGTTGGAACAATGCCCCTAGCGGCAAACGTAGGCAAACGATCCCATTTCATACAAATATGAGCTAACTTTTACGCTATCGAGAACGTTAAAAAACTCACACTAAGCACACTGATTCACGCGTATACAAATGAATTGATTTTTTTTTATTTAAAGTGACAATTTCGCGAACGATTTGTTAAGTCAATTTTATTTTTCTTATCCTCTCCAAATATGTTAACATTTATCACATTTATTTTCTATTTAGTACACAGATATTTTGTTGAGCAATTATTGATTTTAACTCGGCTTATGCAATTTAATTTGGCGATTAATCGTCTAAGCTGTGAGTGTCCATAAAAATGTTAAATACAACCTTTTAAATTACAACCTGATTTTATAAGTATTGTATATAACTATATTATAAGTAATGTATATCATGACGTGAATCATAATAGAAAAAGTTGCTAGAACATTTGAACAATACACATTAATCAATTGTTTCGTTTTCATTATTATATGTATGCTTCCTGAAAATGAGAATACTTTTATACGCTCATTTAACTTAGATAATGCATCTCCCCTTGTTCTCAACAAAATAACAGTATTCTTTATTTATGCATCAAGTTAGATCACTTATTCATGTTCCGGGTGGAAATACGTCCGAATAGAAAATGGCTACTAACTTTTGCTCCTATTTTGAGATAAATAGCTTATGCATAAATTATATACCTATAAATAGATTGTTATTGGTGTAGTAAAAAAAGTGGGCGTCCCGTGGTTTGTTTCAATAAATGGTGTGTGTCGATAAATACAATTTGGGACGTATTTTGAGGGACATTCAGGAGTCCCAAAAGAGCTTATTTTTAATGGTGCTGGGGCATAAGCCCTTTAATACGACCGCTCTGTTTGTTTATACCGCGAAGCAATCGTGCTTCCTGGTTTAAAGGGTTGAATAGGCGTTACCTCTACGCAATTAATGATTTCATATATTATCTTTGGTAGTCATTCTCTAAGTTTTGCGAGTCGCAAGCAGAGATAAAGCTGGTCCCAATAACCGATTTAGAATTTACACTTTAGACCAGGAGCGCTCACGAGGTTACTAGTTAACGATCGATTAGATTAGAATCGATTATGTGTATCTGTTACGATTGTATGCTCAAATCACTGAATCGATTTTGACGAAATATGTTATGAAAACATTTTAACCCCGGAATACAATAAAACTTATTTATCCCACTGCTGATCACAGGTTTTCACGCAGATGGCTTTTTTTCCACAGGAGAAAATCGCCGGATCCCCACCCGCACGGCAGGTGGGGTAAAAACTCCTGCCGCTCACAGCCGGCGCCCTATCCCGGACCGGGCGGAAACCCAGTCGGAACTATTGAGACGGCGGGACAGGGTTTAAAATGTAGTTCAAGCGTCCGTACCTCTGGTCGGTAACTAGTTTTCCTAAATAAATATTACCTGGCTTTGTGTGCCCGTCGAGAACGTGAGGAGAGATCCAGCTCGCTGGCGGCGGAGCACGTGGTGCCAGCTTGCAGCGAACCGCGAGATCCGCCCAGCCTCCGCGAGCCCAGCCGGCACGTCATCATTTCTAAACACACACAAATTAATCATTGCTTTAGTTATCTACATTTTTTTGAATTTATTAGAAGTGCCTAGGCGGTTCTAGAGTTTCTAGAATTGTGCACGAACCTTGATACGGATATTTCATTTTTAAAAAAATTGCTCGCACTATCTTATCGATAAAAACATCACAAAATTGACTAGCATTATCGGTATTACCGTACACAATAATCACACAACAATCACAGACAAACTTAACCTCTTCAGGAGCATTCTTTTTATTTATTTATTGCTAGATGGGTGGACGAGCTCACAGCCCACCTGGTGTTAAGTGGTTACTGGAGCCCATAGACATCTACGACGTAAATGCACCACCCACCTTGAGATATAAGTTCTAAGTTCTCAAGTATAGTTACAACGGCTGCCCCACCCTTCAAACCGAAACGCATTATTGCTTCACGGCAGAAATAGGCAGGGTGGTGGTACCTACCCGCGCGGACTCACAAGAGGTCCTACCACCAGTAATTACGCAAATTATAATTTTGCGGGTTTCATTTTTATTACACGTTGTTATTCCTTTACCGTGGAAGTCAAACGTGAGCATCTTATCTTTATTTATATATTTTATTTCTTTCTTTCTTTTATCCAGCTAATTAACAAGATAGCATTGAAATTCTATCACAAGTTACTTTTGTTCGCGCTTCACAAAATCAGTCATTAAACAAAAGAAACACAATAACTATGATAAACAAAAACTCTCTAGCGAATCGAATGAAATGAATAAAACGTAAGTCGAATGAGGCTATTGTCGAGTCGCTATTCTTTTATAAGCCCGACGCGATTTTCTTTATGAAGACGCCGCTCGCTAGAACGCGCACAAAATTACGTAGCCGGAGAAGAAAACTTCCCGCACTTCGAAATAGCTAACGAACCGAAGATGAAATGAGAATTCAATGCAGCCAGCGATGCAACTATAATAGAGAATGAATTACAGTTAACTAACTGTAAAATTAAGCAAACATCGTTCGTCGTGGCCTAAAGGATAAGACGTCCGGTGCATTCGTATCTAGCGATGCAACGGTGTTCGAATCCCGCAGGCGGGTACCAATTTTTCTAATGAAATACGTACTTAACAAATGTTCACGATTGACTTCCACGGTGAAGGAATAACATCGTGTAATAATAATCAAAACCGCAAAATTATAATTTGCGTAAGTACTGGTGGTAGGAACTCTTGTGAGTCCACACGGGTAGGTACCACTGCCCTACCTATTTCTGCCGTGAAGCAGTAATGCGTTTCGAGCTGAAGGGTGGAGCAGCCGTTGTAACTACATTGAGACCTGAGAACTTATGTCACAAAGCGGGTGGCGCATTTACTTTGTAGATGTCTATGGGCTCCACTAACCACTTAACACCAGATGGGCTGTGAGCTCGTCCACCCATATAAGCAATAAAAAAATAAAAATAAAAAATAAAGTTTAACTTCTGTAAGCTTTTGATCAATAGTGGTCGTGCACTATATTAGAAAAATTATCACTTAAGTCTTAAACTTCTATTCAATGATAAGTACACCATGTGCGAATCGCATACAAACGTATACAAAAAAAAAACAGCATTGTATTTACGAAAATAGAAACACACTTGTTTCATTCAGGCAGCGGTTTTGATAAATTTTAATGCTGTGCTTGCTACGCCGCAGTGCGGAGGTTTCGAATTTAATGGAAGTTCTCTTATTATAATTGCTTTAAATATACACGATTCGGGCAGCCCAACTAAAAATTTATATTGTAACCTAATTTGATGTACAGTATTCGTTTGCATCACCAAGATTGTGCCTTATAGACAAACATAGATACTTCTTCGACTACAAAATCAAATTTATGTGTTATATGTGAGCAGCTAAATTAAGAGTGTAGGCAGCCATTTTTTTGAAACGAAGTTCCTTATGGGACGTTGCGGAGGGGTACCCTAACCGGGAAAAAACGTCCGTAACCTAAGATTTTTATTATTAATGCACACAGTGTACGACTTAACTTTGTAATAACGTACAAAAAATAACATATTTTTTTATCATTCATTGACCACGATCTCAGAGCGTTCGTTTGCGCAATACACTAACTCTTATGCAAATAACCGTGAATGAAGTATACCACAATAAGTTCGCACGCTACCGAATGACCGTGGGTTGTTGCGAAACCTCCAATTTTATTTTCTCTATACCTCGAATAGAAAGAACTTTAAATTAATATTTTTATAATAAGGAACTTCGTTCCTATGCGGTGTCCCACGACACCACACATCTTTTTTTGATCTTGTAGGCAAATGAGCATACGGCTTACCTAATTGTGTGTTACCGTCGTCCAAAGACTTCAGCAATGCCAGGGGTAGAGCCAAGCCGCTGTCTACCGTTAAGTACCCTCTACACGCCTCGTTTGAAGAAGGACATGTCATAGCGCTCGGCAAAAACCGTGGAGAGGAGCTCATTCCAAGCTATAATGTAAAGGCTTAAGTATATAATATATGTATATACCTCAACCTCAAAAAAAGATAATTAGCGGTGGTAGATCACATGTCCAGGTCTATGTCAATTTTTGATATGCGCCAGTCAGCTTAAAAGGAAGATAGGTGTTACAGTTCATACTTCGCAATTACCGACACGAAGATAGGTATGATTTATGCTAGCGCTACGCAAGCTTTAGATAATTGGTGAGACATGTTTCGGAGAAAATCCGGTAAATTAATGTGTTTGATATTGAGACCCGATTAAATTTACAACGACCCTAATTTAGATTTAATAAGTTTCCCTTAAAACATTCAATCCTCCAACGTTCTTCTCTTCTTCTCAGTCGGACACTCTAGTCAGAGTGGTCGTGGTTGCGCTGACGCTGTATGTGCAGTAGGACCTGTTAGGTCGCCCATGTTCCCGACGACCGCTCTTTTTTTTTTTTATATTGCTTAGACGGGCCGACGAGCTCACAGCCCACCAGTGTTAAGTGGTTACTGGTGCCCACTACCCACCTTGAGACATAAGTTCTAAGGTCTCACTATAGTTATAACGGCTGCCCCACCCTTCAAACCGAAACGCATTACTGCTTCACGGTAGAAATAGGCAGGGTGGTGGTACCTACCCGTGCGGACTCACAAGACGTCCTACCACCAGGCAATGCGCTTCCAGGTCTGGCGGCTCGAAGCGTTTCGAGTACATTCGACCATAGTGGACTCAGTTGCCTTCGTTCTTCTCTAAATATTAACAAATCAATACTAAATATTACTTGTAAAATAAATTCGTAACTTTATTTGTTAACAATATTTCAATTTGTGTCGGATACAATCAAAAAGCAATTTGACAAGTTATTCACGTTATGAAATACTATAATATTTGTAACAAGAGCAAACTAGATTTTATCAGATATTTTTGTTGCGAACAAAAAGTGGATTAAAGTTTTAGAAGCGTAAGCAATGGTAACCTGGCAATCGGCTTTAAGTAAGCCCTCCAATTAATTTAGCGAGGAAAGGGTACTTGATTATTACTTAAGTGGCTACAATTTATTTAGTAGCTCTAAACATTAAGTAGCAAAATAGTAATTTTGACACATTTGATGTTGCTTTTTTGTAAATGGATTGTGGATGTGCTGACAGGGATTTTATTTAGAATGAAAAGAAAAGGAACATAAAAGAGTAACTATTCTGTTTTGAATGTTACATGTTTTTACATATCTATGCATTTTCAACTAAAATATTACTAGATGATGACCGAGCTTTGCTGGGTTTTTTTTTATAACGCCATCTTGTTGTGTCTTTAAAGCAGTTAGTTGCCCTCAATTAAGAAAAATAGTATTATTATTCGCCAATAGATGTCGGGAAGAGTTGATTATTGAAAACACGAATAAAACAACATTTTCTGAAAATAAATCGTAGCTAGATCGATTTATCGCCCCCGAAATCCCCTGTATACTAAATTTTATGAAAATCTTTGGAGCCGTTTCCGAGATTCAGATTATATATATATTAATATACAAGAATTGCTCGTTTAAAGGTATAAGATTCATTTGCATTGGGAGAATTCTGAAAACTGAAATTTTAATTGAACTGCCTAATGTTATCCGATGTGATCTCAATGAATCTAGAGCCACATCACGTTACAAAAACACACTTTAATACGAAATCTAAGCGATATTTCAATCAAGCACGGGATAGATACCATTAAATATTTTGATTTTCTATAAACTGAAACGTGAAAATCATTTGAGCGTGTATTGCTTCGCCTTCGTTAAAATAAACTCAATTTGATGGAGTAATAACTCCAATCGAGGCAGTCAAAATGACTTTAATTAAATGATACATTCGATACTCGCCGTTATTTACACGTTATATTTTGACTGTTCCTCTACTACGAAATGTACTGATGGAAAGTGATATTATAAGCCCGCACGGATAGATACCAACATTGTTCCTATTTTTGTAAATAGTTTAAAGAGATTCCTATGCGAGAGGTTTGATATGGCAGCAACGGTCATTACTCACCATCTGGTGGCCCGAAAATTTAGTTTTTTTTATTTTATTGCTTAGATGGGTGGACGAGCTCACAGCCTACCTGGTGTTAAGTGGTTACTGGAGCTCATAGACATCTACAACGTAAATGCGCCACCCACCTTGAGATATAAGTTCTAAGGTCTCAGTATAGTTACAACGGCTACCCCACCCTTCGAACCGAAACGCATTACTGCTTCACGGCGGAAATAGGCGGCGTTGACTTAGAAGATAAAAAATTTAGCATTGGAAAACTCAGTAATAATTTTTTTAATGAGTTGGGGAAAATATGTGTTTTTCTTGTTCTTTAAATCGGAAATCAATGGCAACTGCAATGAAAAGTACGCCGAATGCCTCGTAAATAAATCTGCATTCATTAGCCAGAACTAGCGTAGCCATTTTACAACTAAATAAAAATGAATTGAAATGATAAAAAAAAAACATTATGACGTTAACTTCCACTAGCAGACCGAACCGAAAGTTCGAACCGACCCTCGA